TGCACCAGCAGCTAAACATAAGCAGTCTGCATCATGTCGAAGACTTCTGAACATGCATGACAGGGTGGAAGCTGCCTGTGGGTCACTCCCCCTGGTAGATCTGGGTCTCTGTCATGTTCGTCAAGTCTCCGTCCATGTGTACACATTCTATGCCTCAGATTTCCTGTTTTATTTTGAAATCACTTCACCGGTTGTTTCTGTTCCAGCTTTACTTCCTGCACCTGTCTCATCACACCTGTTCCCTGATGGCTTCCCCGCACCTGTTTCCCATCTCCCCTCATTACCTCGTATATATTACCTTGTGTGTCTCACTGTCTCGTCGCCAGTTCGTTGCACTTCACAGTGTTAATCAAGTCAAGTCATAGTCTGTTTTGATCACAACCTTGTTTCTGTTTTTTGGACTTTGCCGTCTGCCTGAAGATTTCTGGATACCTTTGCCTGAGTGACTGATCTCCCGTGTACCGAACCTTGTTTGACATTAAACCTGCCTTTTTGCCTGAACCTATTCTGAGTCCAGCATTTGTGTCCACTTGCTCTGAGAGTGAGTTCATGACAGGTCTCATCTCAGTTGTTCCACTGTAGCCACTGGTCACCCTTCATAGGGCTATGGATGGCCTGTTGCAAAAATTGCTCAGAGCTCTGGCTTCGCAGCCCCAACTAGCAAACACTGGAGCCATTTTGTCCTCTTACCAACATCACCTGTTTCACCCGGTACAGGAAAGTTCCAGGGGTTCCAGTATTGTGAATGAGCTCCAGCTGGTTTCTTCATGCCTCTCTTCCATTTTGAAGAAGTAGGTTAGATGCCACCTGTGGTTGTCCTGTTCTCATCTCCAGCAGGAGGAATGTAAGGAGAACAGTGCTACAATTTGTACATGAGTAAAAGTGTTATGTCACTGACATGTTAAACAGTCTGGCTGCAGAAAGGACAAAGGACCCACAGCATTGTTTCTTCTTGCACTGTGGACGTAGCAGCTTAAGGTCCCTACAATCTCAGGAAGGGAACGAGAGGTGTGCTCATACATATACATTGTAACAGGCATGCATGGCAACATGCTCTGTTGTTGTCTCCCTCCCACCTCTGATTCCTGAATATTTCCTGTGAGTCTCTGTTTCTTTTCTGTGCTGGATCATCCTGCACACTCTTTCACACAGTTCAGGGGACAAGACAACAATGTTAAGCATCTCAAGGCCAAGTTAGGCTACAAGATGATAAAAACTCAGGTTCCCAGGCCCTGACAAACATTACCTAGTGCAGGATCCCTGCTTTGTCACTCCCATCTCCTCCAAGCAGACGTCCAGGACCAACCGCAGCCTTTGCTCGCCACGGGTCTGACTCGACAACGATTCGTCTGTAGCTCGGCCGTCTTGTTCATCCACCATGTCGTTTGCGTTCGTTGTCACGGCGGTGCTTCTGGGCTCTTCAGTCACCATGGCTTTTGTGTTACATCAGGCTAAAGATGAACCTGCAACTTCTGCTGATGCTTCTGTTTCCCATCACAGGTCAGTATCAGACATTTTTGAACAACAAAAAAGTCTGTATGGACAGATTGTGACAATGTTTTGTCAGTATTGGCATTTATTGAAATGCATGGAACAATGAAAATGTTTTTGTAAGTCAGGGTCATTTTGTCCAACGTGTTTCTTCAACAGTTATCGATCACTCAACAGCACAAAACAAAGTCACCTTATTTTTTTTGTCTTGGTTGTGATGTAAACACAGTAAAGCTCATTTGTGTAGAAGCAATCTGTTTATATTTTAATGCAAAGCTGTATGTGATGTTCAGGTGTCAGGGTGAGTCACTGCAGTCCATCAGGAAGAGTCTCCTCAAGGCTCTCAACATTCAGACTGAGCCGCAGCTACCTGCTGGTTTTCTCAACAGTGTCAGAGAACAGTGGAGGAGAACCTTCAGCACCATTTCTAACCAAGCCGTGTACACCACAAGTAAGTGGAGTCCACAATGTATATCCAGAATGTAGATCCCAGAAAAAAAAGTCTTACAGTGTCTTCTTCCATGTCCTTCCAGTTCCAGCAGCTGATGATTACTCTGTGTCACCTGACAGTACAAACAGCACAAGCTTGACGTGCTGCTCCATGGCCTCTGAGATCTTCATGAAAGGTACGCAGCAATGCGTGTGCATGTTTATAAGCAGAATATGTTGGTACGCGCAGTTCTTTTAAGCGTGATATTTCGTTCTTATCTTTGTCAGATCTGGGTTGGGACAGCTGGGTGATCCATCCTCTGAGCCTCACCATCGTTCAGTGTGCACTCTGCAACTCTGACATGAACTCTGTGCAATGTCCATCATCCCACTCCAGTGTTCATGATGTAAAATCACATGTGTTATGATATTTCTGTTCTACACCGTGATGCAATCCTATCCAAAAAAATAAAAAATAAAAAATACAGTCTGCATTTTAAAATGTAATTTTCTTAAAACAGCACTTTTTGTCATTATTATGAATGTATTTTCTTTTTTTGTCATCCTTGTAAATGTCACTTTATCTTTGTTTTCTCTCAAATCTGGCATCCTGTCTTTAAAGAAAAGAACTTGTCTTGGAGCTCAGCCTTTTCTTCTTCAACATTTCTTACCATGTCTATCTGACTCCTCTCTTCGTCTGTCCACCGACCAGGTTCCATGTTGTCAGCCAACCTCCCAGGAAACGCTGCCCATCGTCTACATGGATCAATCCAGCACCACTGTCATTTCCTCCATGCAGCTGACCCGCAGCTGTGGCTGTGGACCCGGCAGTGTCCAGCAGCCAAACACAGAGTAGGCTCAGATCAGTTCCACAGGCCTGAATACGTGACATGATCCATATGCATTCAAAATAATCATGATGTGAAGGCCTTTCTTCTGCTTTTGTAGATTTCATCTCTATCTAAGATTCTTACTGTGTGTATTCAGCACTGACGGTGGAAACCAAAGCAGAGTCTCCCTCAGAACTCTTCTGACATTCCCATTACTCTGTTGCACCAATACAGATGTGTTGAGACGATTGTTTAAGGACAATAATTACACGTTACACGCCAACTACAATCTCTGGCATCAAGTTGTGGAAACAACAAAGTGAAGTGCAGCAACCTTTGAATGAATCTCATGAGCACAGAGCACTATTTATAGCTGCTAACTGTTACTCAGTGTTCCCTCCAAAAATGTGAGACGGTCGAGAGCCAAATTCTCTCACAAGCCAGTCCTCTTTTCTCTGATGTGTGAACGGACTTCATCCTCTTATGGAAAAGAATTTGATTTGATCTCAACAGGCAACCTGAGGTCAGTGAACTGAGCTTGTCGATGATGTACACGGTCGCTGTTTTAGGGGTCGACAGGTTTTTGTGGGAAGAGCAAGGAGAGAATTTTGTGTTCCCCAGATGAACACTTTGAACCTAAAACCTTATTATCAGTTTCTCCTGGATATGAACCACATGTGTGCTGTGATTTTTCATGAACTTCCATTTGTCATATTCTGCTTTTCTGTGTATGAATACAAAACATTTATCCTCATTTACACACTAATCTGAGTGATTTTATAAACAGCAGAAGAGTTCTTGGTTTTCCTCCTATGCCTCATAATAGATGACAGTTCTCATTTTTGATGTTTTAATTGTATTTTTTATTGTTTTTTTATTTTCTCACGTGTGTTACAAAGTTACCTCACCGCATTTTCAAGCATTTTTCACGTGTTTTTGATCAAATGCAAAATGTTCGATTATGTTTATGACACTGTTTTACCAACTTAATCATTTCTACCATTTTATTGATTTGTTGCTCTCAAATATTTGAATAAAGACGAATGACACAGACTGTTGTTTCTTCTTCAGCTGCTATTCCACTGTAAATTTTTGTATTAAGTTAACAACCTTATTTCAAAGAGCATTATATTTGATTAAAGGTTCCTTGTGCCAGCCTCACATGGGCTCCTGTCAGCCATGAAGGCTCCTGCTAAGAGGGAGGGAAATAAAAGAAATGTTGGCACTGCACTGTTGGCTGCTGGTGAGGGGAAGAGCAACACGTTGCGCACTTTAGAGCAGCCCTCGACATTTTCATTTGTGTTCGGGACGTTTATAAATCTTCTCCTGGCTGCACTGGAATCCTATCTTATGATTGTGACCTGTAAAGATTTTTATTTTTCAGTAATACTGGACAGAATGTCACCATCTATCTGTCTGTGGGTGGTTTTTGGCACGCTATTCCCACTTCTACTGGCGTTAGGGGCGGCTGAGTGTTCAGGGAAGGAGACGTTGCTGAAGTCGATTCCCAGCAGGGGGACACCACCGACGGACTGTTTGATGGAGTGCACTGGGAAGACATACGTCAGAAAGTCTCTGCTTCAGGACAATCGCAATATCCGGCTTAAAGATTCCACAGAGGGTAGGGAGCCACAACGTCACACTTTGCTGCAAAATGAAACCTCAAGCTGTGTTTTAAAAAAATAAAACCTGTGGAATCAGTTATGTTCCGTCCATCACTGCCTTCCACCTGTTTGATGTTGCACTTCTAATTAACTAGTTTCTCTTCCCAGGAGACCTCGGGGAACACTGTTGGTCCACTGGGCTCCAGTGCAACATTGGAGAGAGCTTACTGCGTGCCTATGTTGTGCTGCCTGTGGATATATCTGCAGCTGGACATGAGCAGCTAGAAGTAAAATCCACGGTCCCCACTGCCAGCACTCTGCACGTACATGACAGCCCGACCACGATAGAAGAGAGCTGCGGCCTCCGTTATGACGTCACGCAACACTTTGGCACGCAGAATGCAGGGACGTCGTTCTGCATACAGGTTGTCACCCGGGAGGACGAACTCCTTCGGTGTCCTCCCTTTCTGGTCACTTTCTGGCAGAGAAATCTAAACCAATCCAACCAACAAGGTGGTGGGTGAAGAATCAGTGGGAGAAGAAACGTTCAGATCTTTAATTTAGGGGGAAAAAAGTATTAACAACAAAATAGAAGTCCTGCATTGAAATGTTGCGTAAGTAAAACTATGTAAACTGTACTATAAGTATTACAGGCTAAACTACTGAATGCAGAAAAATGCACTTCTGGTTCTTATATCACATAAACAAGATCATTAGATTATTATTATTTATATATTAATGTACAAGCAGGAGTTATTTGCTCTAGTTGGTTACAGCGAAGCTTATTTTGACAGTTTTATAAAAGCCTGACGATGATTCTCGTTACAGATTTTTATGTTTTTGATTAACTGATTGATCAATGGAGAGAAGTAGCCATAGCCCAATGCAAAATCTTTACTTCTTTCACTCAGTTGTCCAAATCATCAGTCTAAGAAGCTGGAAAAAAAGAATTGCATTTCCATTTTTACATTAAAACTGACTTAAACTATCTTTTTTCATTTCCTCTTGGGGAGTTTGTTTTATGACAAGCATCACATTTGATAAGTTTTCCATATATTTTATATTTTAAAATCTTAATTTGTAAAGCTACTAGTAATAAAAGCTGTCAGATTCATGTCCTGAAGAAAAAATAAATAAATAAATACATGTGTACATAACCTATCTATTTCCTGTAGTGGACCAGAAGTAAAAATTAATTAATAAATTAAATTAATTTTTTTTTAAAGCATTGTAAAGTGGAAATACTCAAGTCCAAGAACTTTTCAGAACCAACATAACCATGGTGTTACTGATGAGATCAGCAAAGATAGATTCAAGTAATTTCTGTGCATTTGTAAAACAGATTTGGATTCATTCTTCACCCCTCCTGCCTCTCAGATTACCTGAGTGAACAGACGGCGGTTCTGAATGCTTCCAGGTTTCACAAAGCAAATTCACTTGTTGTTTATCTGCCATTCTGACAAAATGCATTTGTTGACTTTCCACAGTTGTCAGTCAAGCTACAATATATGTGTGTGTGTGTGTGTGTGTGTGTGTGTGTGCACTAGATACTCGACATGACTTCCTGTACAGATTTCTAATCCTAAACCTACCAAGTTACTCACTTACAGGATCTTGTCAACGTTGTGTATCACTTTGTTTGTTAACATGAATTTTCTCATGAGTTGCTTTTCTGTTGCTGTATGAAGTAAATCATCTCTTTTGCTTTGTTTCCTGCTTTAATCGTGACGGTCTTTGATAATTTTTGAGCATTAAGTGGACGCTTTGCATTTGTTGAGAGCTCTGCTGGATTTACAGCAAGAATGAGTCAAACTTCTCTGTTAAATCATGAATGTTCTGTCGTTAACGTCATGTTGTAATGTCGACGGTTATAAATGTTTATGGTCATATTAAAACCTTGAATTTTTCTTTTATGGCCATGCGTATATTGTCCTTGATATGAAATAACTCGTAGCTGACAAATGTAAGAGTGATGTTTAAACTAGTCACTAAGTCTAAAATATGAATAATAATATAAATCTCATTCTTAATTTTTAAACTTGTTGGGGATGTTTTTAGCTTAATTTTAGTTGTTTTTAAATGCATTATTTCAATGGCATGAAACTGGATGATATACTTGTAACCATACATAGAACTTGTAAAGGATAAATCATCTTCTTATCACAATTCATTGCAACAACCTCGTAAGCATCCATTTTTAGATTTGGTGCTCCACCTAAACTGTACAAGTGTTTCTGGAAGTATTCTACCACGATGCTTTATGTGGAGTGAGCATCCTACATGTTTGTCCCTTTTAGATCCACTGTGTGGCATTTCGGCATGTTATCAAGTTTTCATCATTGGGCCCCCAAAAAATTCACCGTCACTGGTTGTGTGGTGAAAATGAACTGCATTGTTTCCAGTTACTACACAACAAACCACATAGAGCCACTTGCTGGCTGAACTGTGGAGAACGATGCCTGAGCTTTTTTACCACCAGATGGTAGGCTTGTTGCAGAGCTAAAAAAGAGAAAAAGAAAAATTGAGCGTCCAATTCAAAACCAATTGCAAGTTGTGTTCTTCAGCAGTTGAGAAATGCAGATATCATACAACTAATCATCTTTGGTGAATAACTGCCATCGATAGAAGCTAAAACTTATCAGATTTAAACCCCAGACAGGCTCAGTATCGTGCCATTCTGACTGTGTTGAGTTCTACACAACTTGAGTCATAAGTTAGCAGCCAGGAGACGATTTATAGAAGTCCTGAACACAAATGAAGAGTAACTGAAAATGCTGAGGGTTGCCTTAAAGTGCACAATGAGTTGCTCTTCCCCTCAGCAGCTGCTTTTGTAGAATACAGGAACATTAGTGTGGGACCCAAAACAAGAGGGAGGCAGGTTGAAAGGAAGAACAGGTTTATTTGGGAATCCAGGGGAGTGAGAGGGGCACCAGGAGGCAGGTGAGGGATCCAGGGTCGTAGCAGGAAAAACCAGGGTTAAGGGTGGTGTCTCGTGTTGGTGCTCGTGAGGGTAGAGGTGAAGTCCGTGTGGTCGGAGTGCAGGCTGGTGTGGGAAACCTGAATGGCTGGATGCGGAGGAGACACTGGAGGAACAGGGAGGAACTCAGGTTACTCGTGAGCTCGAGAATAATCCCAAAGAGGAAACTTAGTTAAGACAACTAAGTGGCCTGAATGTACCACGCGTGGGGTAGACGGTGGCTTTATCCAGCCCGCTGATTATGATGATGAGCAGCAGCTGTGCCAGTGTGGGAGCTTCCTCCTCCAAATCAGCCCCGCCCTGCCTGAAACTCAGGAGACAAACAAAAAAACACAATCACAGAAAAAAACAAAAACACATTGAACATGTCCACATCACCACACAGTGCCTTCATCTGCTATTTCCCTCCCTTTGAAATATGTTTATGAACTTCATCCATTTAAGGTGGAATAGCAACTGAACAAGAAGTCTATTTTATTCATCTTTATTCAAAATATTGTGAGCAAGAAATCAGTTAAATGGTAGAAATGAGAACTGTCATCTATTATGAGGCATAGGAGAAAAACCAAGAACTCTTCTGC